AAAAAATGTTTGTAACTCACGGGTGTCGATCTGCATTCTTTTGTGATGGCCCTGGGTCCCCAGTGATGAGTTGCCCCCCCCCCCCCCCTATGTTGGCTTGCCCCTCCCAATGTTTTTGGCTGGAATACTACAAAAAAAGCGTGGGTGAAAGATCATCATTACACAAGACCATCTTCTTTTATCGTTTGGCGTAGTGGCGTATTGTACCACTCTTCATAACAAAAAGTCATGGTTGCTCCCAACACAAAGTGAAAATGGTAACAGCTGAGCGGATAAAGAATAAGCAATGCAACAAACTTCACATACCTAGCGCCACAAGACACGCAATGGTTTGTGAGGCTAAAGTTGCTCTGGAAAAGCTCTGCATTATGGGAATGACGTAAGTCCTTCGTGGCTAACCCACTCCCGGCTTCCCACAACCAAAATGCGTGTCACATCCCACAACCGCCGTAAGCAAAGCGTCATCCCGCCATAAAGTGGCCTCCAAAGGGGCGCCTCCACGTGCCCGATCAGAAGAGACGCATGCTTCCGGTGCGTGCTCCCCAGGTCCAACTCTGCATGACTTCTACACTGCTTGAATTAAAGATTTATAAGTTAAACAGAAATTTAGCACATATTTTGTATTTAATCAAAATAAGTGTGGCTTAAGCCGGAGAAAAAATGGGGGAGTAGGTTGCCGGGCCTTCGGTTCTGTCCCTTCCCAGTAAGTTACAAAAATTGACCCTCCTGTTGTAACTAGTTCTTCCAAGTCCCCTGTCACCACACCCATGTGCTCCTTTAAAGGCATGAAGATCAACGAAAACTTCTAGCACAGCTCAAGACCACTAAAAAATATAAGGTAAAGCAGCTATATTCATGGATGCAAATAGAAGATTAGCAAGGAAAAGATGGAAGCCACCAAATGCATACTATACCCGCCAGGTTTTGTCGCCTCGGTGATGACGTAACTTGTTCATATAGCTTATAAGGCTACACTTTGTGCTGGTTGTGCTTTGTGCTTCGAATGAGGCATTCGACACCATTCATTCAGGAAAAGACATTCATAAGTAGAGATGTATCAGTCGAATGCTGAAAGCCACGACGTCGTGATTTAGTTTTGCGGTAAAACTCATCTGATAAACGCTTTACACTGCATATTTTTTCTAATCATGACCAACATATCATCGGTTGATGGGAAGCATCCGCAGCTTTTCTCGTCTTCTTATTACTTGAAACCATGAGTTGACTAGAATTCGAAATTGAACTCGGTCCTGGATCAGGCATTGCCCTAGATCAATTTCGAGCCGGCAATTCCCTGACTTGGTACCAACCTGAATGTCAGTACACGAAGGAATCTGGAGAAAACTGTCCCCTCTTCGGTCCCACCGGTCTATCGCTTTTGTAATGTTAAGCTTTTGCCATGTCAAAGGAATACACTGGTACTATTATTTGAATGTTCCTTGATCTTGATGTGGCCTCTGCCGATGAAGTTGAGCCCTGCTAGCAGGGCTCAATTGGGAAATCTTTGCTGTCACACTTCTTATGCTGTCATACGCGTGTGCGTGACATATATCTCGCTGCATGCACCACGGTTTCTCCTAAAAGCCACGGCAATGATGACCAACACCAGAGCGGCACGTGCCATTTTCACTTAATGATTTAGTCACATACCTAATAGTCGGCCATGAGTTCAAATGAAACACACATAAGGTGAAGGAATGCCGACCCCAGGTGTGGAAGAGAGGGTGCTGGACCATTCTTCCCAAACCGAACCCCGTCTTAGTTGGGTTTTTCGATCCGTGGGAAACTGTAAGAATACCCCGAAACCTTCACGTGCGCAACAAGCAAACTCCCACGCTGGCCTTCGGTTTCCTTCCTGAACCCACATTTACTTCTTCAGCTCGTTTTTCGGAACAAGCAGCGGCTCCTCGTGTGCTTGACCAAACAAAGCTAGGAATTGCACGTTCCACGGGTGTTGACCTGGAATCAGCCGGCGCTCATTGGTCCCGCCAACCTGCGTCATTCGGTGTTGGGCCGGCGGCCGTGTGGCGCACTGCGGCGCAGCCTAACACACCAGTAACGCAAGGCCCTCCGTAGTCCACACATCGCAGCAACTTCGTTGGTCTCGGATCGGCACGACTTTCGTTGGGCCCGGATCGGTATGACTGCCTTCGGTCCGGATCGGTGTGACTGTCGTCAGACCCGGATGGCTACGGCTTTCGCTGGTCTCGGATCGCCATGATTCGCCGGCGACCCCGACCCAGAGCCGAGAGTGGCCCTATGAAGCCTCAAACATGCCACTTCAAGCGAGTTCATCCATTTAGCACGGCGGTCAAACCGAATACCGCTGAAAAAGTGATTTTGCCTCTCACCGTTAGCAAGTAAGAGGCGATGTATGTGCCCTCAACGTTAGTATTTGTTGAGGGCAAGGACAGAAGAAACGAGTCAAGCAAAGTAACATGTTTCTTCTGTGCTTATAATTTTGTAATATCGATATATGTAAACACAATGGAAGCATGTTGAATTGAGCAAAGCCTTAATGAAATAGCAAACAACGAAACTGAAAAACTGAATCCAGGTAAAAGGGGCTGCAAGCAATGGACAATCTCCTCCGCTCTCCACTAAGTTGCAGAAACAACAAATATTTAACACAATGTGTGATGTTTGAGCCAGCGGGACTCGTTTAACATACCGTACATGTACCGCACGACGAACTTGACGCGGTTATCCCAGCTGTACGCCATGTCTGAAAAGACACAAGAAACGCATCACCGCACTATCACACACTATTCTATACACAAACGCCGATCAATAGTCACACAACACGTGTGCGGTCGATGAGCGGTGGCCGCCCTTTGTCATCCGTTTCACGGCCGTTAAAAACCGGCGAAATTTGACCTGCCTTCAGCCAAACAGTTGGTCCAAGAGATGTTTTCTGCTCATTTTACTGTTGCGCCACCTGCCGTCGTTACAGTAAAGGTGGCACCACGCCAAAACGTCTTCTAAGCACCAGCGAGTAGGATGCGGGCATGGGCACTAGTTCAGGGAGCCTCCTGGTCTTGCCCGCAGCGGATGGGAATGGTTTGAGCCCAGCATGAGCGCTATGGGAGCTGCTTTTTCCTCTCTTGGTTTCGCCGTCGAGTGCCAGTTAATGCTTTCGCACATAGTAATATTGTAGTGCTTTCGACGCTTTGTGTGGCTTGATGTTGAAGAGATTAAACAGTTTAAGGTCATCAACATATTAGTAAGTCGTTGGGCCCACCAATGACCTGACTCAAACTCAGAACTCTCTGTTCGCCTTCCTCACTCCTTCCCTATATGTGGCAACGCCTCTCCCCCTCGATCAACCCAGCCCTCCACCCCCATCCCCTCTCCCGTCTGTGCCCTGCCTCTGTGCCCGCGTCTCATCTGCCGTGTGCCGCGCCTGCCTCTCCCGCCCCCCTCCCTGTCTGTACCCTGCCCCTGTGTCCGTGCCTCACCTGCCGTGTGCCGCGCCTGCCTGCTCTCCTCTCCTTCTCCTCTCCCTGTCTGTGACTTGCCCCTGTGTTCGTGTCTCACCCGCCGTGTGCCGCGCCTGCCTGCTCTCCTCTCCCTTTCCCCTCCCTGTCTGTACCTTGCCCGTGTCCGTGCCTCACCTGTCGTGTGCCGCGCCTACCTGCTCTCCTCTCCCTCTCCTCTCCCTGTCTGTGCCTTGCCCCTGTGTTCGTGTCTCACCTGCCGTGTGCCGCGCCTGCCTCTCCCGCCCCCTCCTTGTCTGTACCCTGCCCCTGGGTCCGTGCCTCACCTGCCGTATGCCGCTCCTGTCTGCTCTCCTCTCCCTCTTCCCTCCCTGTCTGTTCCTTGCCTCTGTGTCCGTGGCTCACCTGCCGTGTGCCGCGCCTGTCTGCTCTCCTCTCCGGTCCGGTCTGGTGCTCCGCCGCCGACCGTCTGTCCACCGCCGAACGCGCGGGAGCCGGCGCGCGCCCGCCCGCCCGCCGCTTATGTACCCGGTCGGCGCGCCAAAACGCGCCTACTTCGCGGCAAAAATAGGGGCCGTCCGCGGCCGGACAACGGGCCGTGTTCTGGCCGATGGGGACTGCTTCTGGGTTACGTGCAGCTCTTGCCGCGAGCTCCGCACGCTTCCTTGATCCTTGGTATCCTACCGATGGCATGCGTGTTGCCATGACAGCACTTTGACACATGACATTGACACTGGCACTGCGAGAATTATCGGTAGGCGGCAAGGGCAACGGGCTTGGTATCAATATTGTAATTCATAACATGAGCAACAGGAGGCGGATCCAGAGAGGGACACTGGGGGGAGTGCCTTCGGGTTGGAAAGTGAAGACACTCACCTATGGCGGCGCCTCAAAACGCGCATCCGGCACGAACAGAAACAGGGCAGGGTGTTTGATGAACATGAGTGTCCAAAAATGCCCCAAACCTTAGAAATCGGGAGACCAGAAAGCATCGTCGAGGGTTGAGCAGGTACTTATGTAGTCTGAAAATGTGTCCCGAATTCTGGACAGATATTCTAAAAATAAAACAATTTCCCAAAACCAATGGTTACGCTTTTACTTACCGATGGTTACTTCAGGGGCAACCTTCAAACCGATGGTTTGAAGGTTGCCCCTGAAGTTCAGAAATCCGTCCTGAGGGCAAGAACAACGTCCTCAAAAATATCCAGATGCCTCAAAGGGGGTAAAGGGGGTGAAGAGCGAAAGAGCGAGGGCTAAAGAGCGTGCCTGTGGCGTGAAAATATGCCCAAAAGTCAAGAAGATCGACAAAAAAGCCTCTCTATAACAGGAACGCTTACCCCTGAGGACTAAAACGTCCTTCTATGGCATGGGAATGTCCTTAGAGGGTTCGAAGGTCACTCTTAAAAGGAGTGCTCCACATCCGTATGCGGTTTCGAGCTGAAATAGCCACTTTGAAGATCACTCGGCGCAGTTCACAACTCTGTCCTACCCCAGACCAAAACCCCTATAGTTTCTGAGATATACGCCCGCAAAGATGTGCAGACTATATCGTGCAGACTATTTCAAGGTCACTCAGGCATCCGTGACGCCATAACGCCATTCAAATTCCCTCACTCCATGTGCCATGCGACGTTCAAATCCAGAAAGAACATTATCGTCAAGTCGTTCCGATCTGGCGTATATGAGCCCGATTTCCAAATGAAACTGACGTTTATTAGCTCCTAATTCGTGGCGAGCAACCGCACAAGTTTTAATCACGGATCACATATTGAGCTACATAGTATAAGGAGCTAGACATAATTGCTACTAAAACGAAAATATTACTTGTAATTGAGTATCTTAAATGGAGTGTCCCACTTTTGGGGCATATTTAAAAACATACTCCAGTGAAACCTTAGGGTTAGTTACGTCTAATAATAACACTAGGGGGTGTCGCTAAAGCACCGCCAAGACATAATTAGGACGTCAATTTTAATTATGTTCGAGTCAAAATTAAGTTGCCCGCGCGTTGTAACAGCACTATTCAGTGCTACCATGCTTCTGCCTCATAAACGCGACCACCGTCGTCATGACAACCACCGTGCGTACCTCTATTAGTGCGAATGAAAGAAAGGTGGTGACTCCCCCAGCGGGCAAGGGCCTGCCACCGAGAAGTTGGCTGGAGGAAGTTTGAACCAGCAAGGATCATGTGACGAACTTTCATTCCCAAATCCAAAGTACACCTCAAAAAGAGCTACTATGATTACGTCACAGAGGAGAAACCAAAGCCACAGGACAACGTTTCGTTGATTCGCGGGACACTAATTTTCTGTTTGCAAATCTTTGTGCCAAATCAGAATGATTCTAACTTTTCAGCATTTATTACAAGAGCATTTTAACACATCAGAACCTTGCAAACATTACGGAACACACACTTTGGAAAAGCAGGGCAAAGTAAAGGCATTACCTTCATAGTGGTGAGCAGAGAGGCAAATGAGACTTCTCCCACAGGGTTGGCCACTTCAAATAGAAATTCTGAGCCATTCAAAAGGATTTCAAGAAAACAAGTATTACTGTTCAAATCGTACACGTCTGAAGGAACAATAAGTGAAAAGAACGGAAAGGGGGGGGGGATGATCCCTTTAAGCATGGCACCATAACCGACTATGTTAATGCTTGTTAGCATCTTAAACTCACGAATAAATATGCTAGGACACCAAGACAAAGGGCCAAAACACGAGCACATAGCGATATTTGCCTCAGCAAACACATCCAGCGCCGCCATTGCCATCTCTCGACGAGCTAAGTACTACAAGTGCCTGTTAGGGTGCCGGTTCCGCACGGCTTCATTGGCAGCTCCTAAAAGTTATAAAAACTTTCCACAACGCACTCAAACAATCACGTAATGAGAAGTGATTTACTAGATAAAGCAATTTTTGTCATCGAGGAAAGCCTTTTCCACTTCAGCGCATACCAATACTTATAAGCAAGCTTATTTCATCATGTATCATGCTTGCTCCGACATCTCTAAGTATGGAACATTCCTTTCAAGAAGCTGGGCGCGCCAAAAGCTGGACGGGCGCCCCCGACGTGTGAAGACATGTCCATAGAAGCTGGACGGGGCTCCCCTGACGTGTGAGGACATGTCCATAGAAGCTGGACGGGCGCCCCTGACGTGTGAGGACATGTCCATAGAAGCTGGACGGGCGCCCCTGAAGTGTGAGGACATGTCCATAGAAGCTGGACGGGCGCCCCTGACGTGTGAAGACATGTCCATAGAATAACAACATTATTAAGAACGGAAATGCGTTCAAATTTGCGTAGGGTCGTTTCTTTAGGCTCAAACGGCGTCCTTAAGGTTTCAAATGGTAGCATTATGTCTAGAAAGACGGCGCAAACTACAAAATGACGTTCCAAATCCTGAAATGGTGGTTATGAAGGCTCAAAAAGCTTCATTGGGGGCAAAAAATCAAAAGTTTTAAATGGGCTTATAAATTATGGTGGAACTCTTCTAATGCCCGAAATTGGTCTATTTTAGGACAGCTCACACATAACATCATGCTCCAAATTCCGGCCAGCCGCACTAACGTACCAACAGGGCATCCTTGATGAATATCCGGCAGGATATAATGTCTTAGAAAGTAAAAGTACATCCCATGGGGCCGCAGGCAGCCTTAACGATTTGAAAGGGCGCCTATGGTGTTTGAAAAATACATGCGAGCAGCCTTCAAGACACTCAGGTTTCAAGACACTCAAGACGTCAGGTACACAAGTTTCAAGACAGGACATTAAAGTTCCAAGGACGTCCGTGCGTCATGAGAGAATCTGCAGCATCTAGTATGAGAAAATACATCTAAGACGTGGGAGGATGGAGCTCGCGACTGTGGAGCTCGCTGCACTTCAGTAACATTGCGAGCTACGCTCATACAAGAACTTGCTCCCGTGTGTCACGCACAGTCCCGTGTTTTGGTAGTTATGTCGGGATCCTGCCCTGCCACCGCTGCATCACGCCCTGGGAAGTAAAAATGGCGCCTTAGAACTGAGCTTACGCTGCTAATGACATGGTCTGAAAGCAGCTCAAGTTGTATGATGCAATAACCTCATGTTCACGACTTAATTTTTCAACTGCGCATTTCCTGAAGCTCATGTTCGCGCAATCGCTCCGTTTGTCAGAATATAACCTCTTAGTTCGTAATGGTTGTAGTCTCAAGTGACCAGAGAGCAGCACGATACAGACTTGCGGCATTTTTTAAAGTTCGGCTTCTCCTGTGAAAGCTGAATAACCTAAAATATGAATGACTTTCCTATACCGTACATGCGACATTTCTTAAAGTTAGGCATCGTATTAGGCATTAGGCATTAAAGTAAACAATGCATGGTGTTTCATTGTCATGGCAGTTTTGTAGGACCAACATACTCTACGTGACCTTCTTGCTACTACACTACATGCTGTTATTGCATTGCAAGCTACAGCACTACTTGGTTCATGAGAATTCATACTTAGGTCCCTGCGGCGATCACGTAAGGCAGAGTTGAGCACTGTGTGATGACGATCCCCTTAGTGCACGCTGATAAGTTAAGTACGCAGATCTTGTGGTCTTTTGCAATATTTTTTAATGGGCAAACCCAAATCGCAGTTATTTCCATTGTAGGGTTGCGACTGCCTGATTGAAATTGGCACGGCTTAAGAGGGTTCAGCCCCCTCCCCCCGCCGATCCAAATTCCTGGATCTGCCCACGATAAGCTGAAGCTGAAATTTCGCATGCATTCTTCGTGTTCCGGTTTCGGTTGATGGTCACATTGCATTGTCTTAGTGGCAGGGCATTCGTATATTTACTGAAAATCATTGTTCATCGGGCCAATACGTGTCAAATCTCAGTGGACGTTTACAAAAAATTACTGTTCAGCAACTGAGAACATGGAGCTATGCGTGTATGACTGGTTCTGCTGCTAATATTTTGAGACCTTTAAGCCGTCAATCATCCCTTTCGTCCACGATTCTGCATGAAAATATGTTACCTGAAGCCATAAAGTTTCTCAGTAAAAAATAAATAATATTTGCATACACTTCCATAGCGTCCCGACGGAAAAATGTGTAGAAAAGCGTTCCGTGAAGTGTGTTGTCTCTAAATGCACGATAGGCACGCTTCCTATTGCTTCCACCCACAAATACGGAGTCCGAGATAGGCGACAGGGATGATATTCGGTTGTTGATGGGTTAAAAGTCATCCGGTCGGCGGCTGAAGGAACAATGAAGGAGGTAGGCGGTGGCGCAAAGCTGTGGCGAGCGCACGGCGTCGCCGCCATCGAGTGTTGAACGGCACGGGAGCCGGCCTCGAGTGTTGAACGGCACGGGAGCCGGCATCGAGTGTTGAGTGGCACGGGAGCCGGCCTCGAGTGTTGCACGGCACGGGAGCCGGCCTCGAGTGTTGCACGGCACGGGAGCCGGCCTC